TTTTTAAGCTTTTAGTTTATAGATTTCTCACATGGGATTCACGTGGGACTTAAAAGGAATTTTAATTTATTGTTAGAACCGAAGGTTATTCATGAACCACGTAAAACTTTAGCTGATATTGTTGCTGTTCCAGTTTCTAACATTATTGTTGGTGAAGTATGTATATGCTTTGTTTTTTTTTATGTAAAAATTTTCCTTTTAACATTAACTGAATTATTCTTATAATAAAAATTAGGAATGTTACATGCATGAAGATATATTAGAAGCTTTTAAAGACATAACGCTTCAAGTTTTTAAAATTTTTTTGATACCACCAGTATTATCTTTTATACATCCCTGGCTTCATCAACAATTTGTTGCGTAAGTATACTGCTGTATTTATTCTACTTTTTTTCTGAAAAAAAATTTTTTTTTAAAAAAATTTTAGAAATCAGTAATTCCTTAGAGAAATAACTTTTAAATTATTTATTTCTTTATTGCTTAACAGAATTCCTTTCAGATTTGGCTGGAATCCGATTTCAAAACACAGACAAGCAATCATTAATCGTATTAAGCCGGTTGTTGAAAAACGTCTTTATGATAAAAAGAGATTAGGTGATGCTTGGGTTGCTCCGGTAAATTATTTATAAAAATATATTTATTATCACGTGTGTATTTAAATTATTTAACCATTTTCTTCAATTTAAAATAGTTAGATGCACTACAATTCTATTTAGATGATCCCGAAATAACTCCCGATCCAAACAATGTAAATTATAAATATATTGCCGATGCGATTGGTACTTTTATTTTTGCTGCTATGGGAACTACGGCTAATGGTGCTACTCGTGCTTTATACGGTTTGTCATATTTCTATTTTCATTATAAAAATATTTTAATATACTTTAATTATATCTACTTATATTTTATTTGATTATTAGATTTGATAGAAAGAAAACAACAATATTGGCAAGAATTATATCAAGAAGCTCAGGAAATTATTAAACAGTGTAACGGAAATGAGCTTACATCCGATGACATTGCCAGTATGGTGAAGTTAGATAGTTTTGTTAAAGAATCTTTGAGACTTTCTCCTGGTATAGTTGGTTTGCAGCACAAATGTATTTCTAAATCCTATCATACATTTGCGAATGGTTATCAAATTCCAAGTGGTAATATTTTTTTTTCTTAATTGTTATTCTCTTAATTTTCAAGTCATATCAATTCTAATACCTTTTCCTAATTACTTAAAATCATAGGTCGTTCTGTCATTTTAAATTTCAGTGATACAAATAACGATGAAGAACTTCAAGGTCAAAATCCCACTGAATTCTATGCATATCGTCATCTGGAACGTAATTCTCCCGCGACAAAACTCGAACGTAATTTTTTGACATTTGGAGGTGGAAAACATGCGTGTCCGGGTAGAGCTTTAGCTGTTAATGAGATTAAAGTGATTTTACATAAAATTATGTTAAAATATGACATTAGAGCCGATACTGAGGATATTAAACCTAAAAGAAAATATTTGGGTCCTATACCTGTGCCGAGAAAAGCTGGTATTGTGTTTGAGAATAGAAAAGAAATTGTAAATTAAGAGCTGTGACACTATATTATAATATTGTTGGTATGGGAATTGAAAAACGAATCTTAATGTTTTTCTTTTTAATATATTTTTACTCTAGCATCATTGTATATGGTCATGATAATCAACCAATCAAATTAAATAATTTTTAAACGTTTATCATTTAACTCTACTCTTAAAGAAGCTTACTCTACTGTGCGAAATAACGCGCAGGGTTATGATTTGAATTTTTGGCCATTATCCGAAATAATGCTCATGCCTGTTATTTCTCGACAATACAATACGAATTAACAAATACATGCAAAATAATTTATCATATAAATTTAGAGAATAATTGATACGCGTAAAATGGGATAAATGCGATATTTATTATTAATAAACCTGAACACATTAAAGAACCTACAAGATATAAGCTAATCCATTAATTTACAGCTAACATAGGTTGAAATAAAGTATATCAGATAAACATTATAAAAAGATCAGGTTCTGATTTTTTTTCTGATTTTTGGCGCCTATCGTGACAACAACAAAGGCATCTCGGGAGCTGATAGAATTATCAGTAAGCTATCAGATACTTGATAAAGCTACTAAGTATCTGATAGCTTATTGATAATTCGATCAGCTCCCGATATGTCTTTGTTATTGTCATGATAGGCGCCAAAAATCAGAAAAAAATCAGAACCTGATCTTTCTATAATGTTTATCTGATATAACTTTATTTCAACCTGAGTAAAGAGCTTAGACTACTCAAAAAGTTAGCAATAAAACTTATTTGAATCTAATGTAACAAAATAGTTTTAGACAAAGACACTTCTAGTTACCCTTGCTCTACTGTATAATTTTAAACAGTTCGCTAGACGATGGTATATTTGTCTTATAAGTAAAATTCTTCCAAAAAGTGACTTTAGAAGTGTATAAATAAGCTGATTTACATCAGCCAATCATACGAATGCCCCTCCATCACCCAATTTTTCAGAATGATAAGTCGATGCTTGTCTTCTAGGTACCCCCGAAGGATTAACCGTGGCTTGCATTATAGGTTTAGGCCGTTTGAAGTTGATTCTTCGGCTAACATCATCCCCCTCCCTCCACTGAAGTCTCCCCCGATAAACGAACAACCAATCAAAACGCTGGATAACTCTCGCCAATTACTTGATTTACGTCGACCAATGAAATTG